AAAAAATATATATAAAAAAAATATTAACACAGATTAAATCCAACTGGATTTCAGGCAAATCCTCCTGGTGTGTTAGCGTTACTGGATGAAGAATGCTGGTTCCCTAAAGCTACTGACAAGACATTTGTGGAGAAATTGGTCCAAGAGCAAGGAACCCACTCCAAGTTCCAAAAGCCAAGACAGCTAAAGGACAAAGCAGATTTCTGTATTATTCACTATGCAGGGAAGGTAAGGGTTAAATGTTAAATATTTGGTTAGAAACGTTGGTTTTGGGAAAGTACTACATGGTATAGCTACCAAATTTAGAAATACTTGTGTAGGAGGGTGGCCTTGTTTCACTTTCTTGAACATATTCAGGAGTGCTCTGATGGAACTCTTGTTACCAAATAGAACTGAAAAATATCAATTAATATTAAATTAAGCAAATATTTCCATTTCCTTTTAATTTTGTTGTCAGGTCTTGCAGGTGAGTTTTTTCAGGACTTTTACTGAAAGGAATCTCTTCTGAGTATCTGTTTGTAAGTTGATAGTAGTGCTTGAAGTAGGATTGTGTCAGTACCCTCTTCACTTTTATGTTCTCAGTTCACATAAGATTTTCTGTATAGATTTCGTTCTGTAGGTAAGCTGGTATCTTTTTGGCTTTACTGTTAGCTCAATCTTTATTTTTTTCTGTTGAGGGACAGAGCTCAGCTGCAATGTGAACAGGTCCATGAAACAACTGTGCAGTTCTTGTCAGCATTTTGTGGAACATTTATGATCACCTGGTCTATTCCATAGGGCCATGCTATGTAATTGGTTTCATAAATAGTTAAAACTTAATCCTAGTACCAGTTTTTGCCCTGATATTTAGAAGAAACTCTGCAAATGATTGAGTCATCCTTTGATTTTCATTTAAAGTACTAATGCCTTGTTATCTAATCTTTGATGTCAGTGGTGCCAATTAGATAATTGTGGCAAAAACTGAAATACAGAAATTATACATTTTATTGTATCAATATTTAAAACTAAGTTAGAAATAATGAAGTCATCACTGTTACTGCAGTTAATAATAGATTAGTTGTGAAACAAAAGGTTACCTTTAGGTAATCAAAATGAAAAAAACCAGCTTGGTGCCTGACTATTGGAAAGTAATTGTTCTGAAGAATGCTTTACTTCTGCCAAACTGAGTGGGCATTTCCAGGATACTGGCACTGCATTGCATATCTTCCTCTGACAGAAGGCATTTTACACACTCTGATAGAAAATTGAGTTTCCTTCAAAGCTAGAATCATTTGTAAAATAGCTTTTACTGCAAGACATACTTAGATGATGATCTGATCTGGTTTTGGGTGCTGGAGGCATTTATATGTGGCGTTCCTTCCAAAGCCCTTATTTAAAAATAGAAAACTCAGTTTGTTTAAAGCAAAAACATGCTAGTCTACATGGAGGTCTTGTTGGATTTATGGAATTTTAGGGCTCTCTTTTGGGTTAGCATGAAACCATGCTGGTAGCATTGAGTTTTCAACTGCTGAACTATAGTCTAATTGCAAACCACAGAATTGGTTCTTTCAAGATGAGAGCTTTGTTTTCTTTATAGAACAAAGTGTTTAAATATAACTGATATAGTGAAATTAAAAAAAAAATCATGTTGCAGCACATCCTTAATTTACTCTCTAGTAATTTAGATAAAGTAATTAGGATCTATACTGGAGTTGCTTTTACATCTTCACAGTGAACAGAGAAGCTTTATTTTGGCAATAACACTAGGTTGAAAATGTATGCCAGCTATTAGTAAGCAAAAAGTCAGATTGCTAAATTTTTAAGAAAACTCCCATTTACTTTTTCAAAAGAATAATAACTTTTTGTGGTGTTTCCTTAGAACAGTTCAAAGTACAACAAACTCATAGCAAGCTAACATCAACAAGAGAATAGGAGGAAAACAGTATAGTTTTTGAAAGCTGGGGTTTTTTTTGGTGCTGGTAAATTTAAAACTAAACCTGGTAGTCTATCTGATCACGTGCAACTTGGCTACTCTCCAGGTAGACTACAAGGCAGATGAGTGGTTGATGAAGAATATGGACCCCCTGAATGACAATGTGGCTACACTCTTGCACCAGTCTTCTGACAAATTTGTTGCAGAGCTTTGGAAGGATGGTAAGAGATCATGCTCTGAGTACACAAGTTGTTAGCAATTTTTACCTTGCTGGATGAGTCGGTGTTTTTTTTTGTGCCTGTTCCTGCCTCACCTGTATGTTGTAAATATCTACAGCATTGTTTAGCACCAAAAGTACAACAAGGAAGCTGGGTTGCCCCTATGGTCCCTTGCACATGTACCATTTCTGAGTAGCTGCTTATCATGTTCACTATTTGAACTGATATTCACTTACTGTTTGTTACCCTGTGTCAAATTTCATCTGTAGGATCTTGTCCAAAACTCTTAGTTTGAATTGCTGCAGTTAAGTCCTGAATGTAAGCAGCTATAGTGATACTTGCTGTTAATAAAATGTTGTCTTATGTGAGCACTGGCACAGTTGTTTCTTGTTCAGTCGTGGGTCGTATCCTGGAAATCTGCAACTCCTAAAATAAAATTCATTAATAGCCATGCTACTGCTTAGATATTGCATATTAATATCAAATGCATTATTTTCCTGTTTTAACTGTACACTGCTGTTTAGCTAGTCTACCTGCACATCAGCTTAAAGTATTTATCAACATTTTTACCAAAATACCCCAGGAAGCAGAAATAGCCAAATAAATACTTACAAGGACTCTTTTATTCTAGTTTTTAACATCACAGTATATTAATTAGAGTATATTTACATGCCATAGTATATAAATCTTGTAGTGTCTTATTCCAGGAGGAAATTAATCTTGTGATATAGATGATGCTGTAGGTTAATACTGAGTTTCCCTCTTCTCAGGAATACTTACTTAGTTCAGCTACAGAGAGCAGTTTTAATGAATGTATATAAAGGACTTTTTGGTTGGGGATCTGCTCCTTTCCTTTTAAGTACACACACAGAAGCAAAAGTGTTTTGGTCCAGATATGCAAAACCTGCTTCCACAGATAATTGAAATGTGCATGGAATATGTTGTGGCCTAATTGCTTTTGTAGCACAGTTAAGTCTGTTTGCAATTGATAAACCTGTTCTGTATACTAACTGAAGTGTCTTGTGTATCTGCTCTTCTGTCTTTGTTTTTGCTGTTTCTCTGCCTTAGAGATTCAGAATATTCAGAGAGCCTGTTTCTATGACAATATTACTGGTCTTCATGATCCACCAGGTGAATGGATATAAAAACAGTAGGCCTACTAAAGGCAGGGCTGTTGGATCTACAGGAAAACCATTTTTGCTCGTAGGCTTGCATGAACTTTTCATTTCATGCTAAAATTGGGTACACCTCCACAAGGCAAATGGTCTCTGAGTGCGTTCGTATTCAGTTGCTGCTGCATACATATAGCATCTATATTTTATGCATTGCATTTAAGCATTGCAGATAAAAAGGTTCGTTTGCTTCCTAGTTCCATGTTGAGATGCAGAATTGCTTCTTAAGTGATAATTCTGGTAGCTCCAAGCATTTGAGAGAATGCGTAAGCTCTGTAACACTATCAAGCTTCTTTCTGCAGTCCAACATTGACAAAACTCTTGAACATTTTAGAACACGGATGTGTGTTTTGGGAGGAGAGCTGAAGAATGTATTGAAGTATCAGGATGAGTGCTGCAGTTGTAGTGGGGGGTAGTAAGTGAAATAAACTTCTTCCAGACTTGTTGGAATTGCTCTTTTATTTAAAAACCTCTTAATTTTAGTATTTCCCTTTGTAGAAGCTGCAGATGTGTTTTGAGGTATTGAGAAGTCAACAAATTCACTTATTTGGAATGTCTTTTTGAAGATGTTTTAGACACTTTATCCAACCTTCCTCATCCTTCTTGTATTCTTCTCCCCAGGTTTAGAAATACGTGTATGTGAAGGTTGTGCCTTCAAACTTTTGATCTTTACTTGGGTTTATCTTCTGCTACACATGATACATAGAATCATAGAATCATTTAGGTTGGAAAAGACCTTTAAGATCATCCAGTCCAACCATTAACCTACACTACCAAGTCCACTCTAAACCAATCAAGGGTAGACTAGACTAAAACCATGTCCCGAAGTGCCACATCTACCCGTTTTTTGAACACTTCCAGGGATGGTGACTCCACCACCTCTCTGGGCAGCCTGTTCCAATGCTTGACTACCCTTTCCGTGAAGAAATTTTTCCTAATTTCCAACCTAAACCTCCCCAGACGCAGCTTGAGCCCATTTCCTCTCGTCCTATCGCTAACTACATCACATGCTTGAGGAAGCTAGTGGTGTTTCCTAAAGTAATTACTAGAGGGCTTGAGTTCAGAGGCTTTAGCCAATGGATCGTTTTCCAGTCTTGCTGTTCAATGACTGCTCTTAACCTATAGGGAAGGCTTACATTTAACTTTAATAATCCTAACTGAAATATAAATAACTGTATTATAGTTGGAGGACAGAGGGGAGCAAAACAAAAGATGCACAATTAACAGATATATTTACAAAATAGTACATGGCTGAATAAAAGCCAAATGGTGTCCAGTCATTAGTGGTGTCTGGTGGGTGCATGTTTCTAATATTTACAAGCTGTTATGTTCATCCTCTGTAAGACTGATTCCCAGTAATGTCTATCCCATTTCTGGTTTAGAACTGAATTCTGCTTCAAAGTAAATATTTCGGATATGATCTTATGAACAACTTACCACCTACTTATTCTTCTAACTTTAATAAGCTGCTTAGATTCTTGTGTTCAAAACTGTGTGGAGATCTGGCCTCTGTTCTATACTAGATGCAGGACTTACAAGTGATTATTCAAACTTGTTGCCCTGTATTTTTCTGCTTTTAATTTTCCTTTTTTTATAGAACTTTGAAAACCAGTTGAGTATGAGTATGAAATAAAATATTGTCACTTATTTCTCAGATACAAAACTAATTCTGATAGCAAAGCAGAATTCCCTCTGCTTTGGTCTGAATTAATTTGAATATAACTTAACAAAATTTAAATTGTAGCCTACATATAGCTGCCTGTTTCTGGCTGGCCAGCTTGGATTTCATGGAGAATCAATATATGTTGTGCATTTCCTCAGTAGTAAGAAGTGTCAACTATAATTATTAAGGTGTTAGGCCGCCTGTGTATTTTTTACCAAGCTGTTTAATTATTGACATGCACATGGAACAGCGCTCATGATTTTCGTCTAAAGGTTTTAATGATGGTTGTCAGACTTCTAATTTGTGCTTCTGAAGAAGAAACCATAGAGATCCTTACCCAAAATGTTAAAAAAAAAAAAAAAAACAAACCAAAACCAACCCAAACTATTCTGATGCCTTTATGGCAGCTTTGTGAAGTGCTTTGGTGTGCAGTTTTCCTGTTTTGAAACTTGTCTTTTGGCTAGGGACGTTTTAGCAGTTGTATATAAAACTCAAAAGAATTTTTCAAAATAGCAGACTAGCAGAAGTCTGGCAGATACTTTTTTCCCCTCTTGTCACTGAAATAACACTATTTCCAACTCTTCTGTAAATAGTCATGCTTTCAAAACACTTTTGAATATTCAGTGAAACTCAATCTATATAATTACCGTAAGTGACTCTTCATTTTAAGCAAATATGCATAGATGTCTAATTCAAAATATTCAACCCAGAAATACTTTGCATTGTAAGAATTCAAATGATTGCCAGTTTCCAGGCAACTTTCTATCTCTTAGGAGTTGACTTAAAATAAAGAAAATGGCTTTCCTGGTCATGTAGAACTGCAAGTAAAGAGCTGGATATTTTAGTCTGTACCTACTAAAGCTACACTATTCTGCTGTATAAGTTTGTGGCTTTTGGTTCCACTGCTTCTGCACAGTGTCCCTAGTACATGCTGACTGTCTTGCCTACTGATGGCATCTTCTGTCATTTGTTCCACAAAGCTTCTGCTGCTGCACTATTGCTCCTCTTTCTGCTTATCTTCATAGCTGACAAATATTAAAGTCCACTTAATTATTTTCTCTTGTCCTTCCCAGTGGATCGTATTGTGGGTCTGGATCAGGTCACTGGAATAACAGAGACAGCTTTTGGCTCTGCGTACAAGACCAAGAAGGGCATGTTTCGTACTGTTGGCCAACTGTACAAAGAATCTCTCACCAAGCTGATGGCAACGCTCCGAAACACTAATCCCAATTTTGTTCGCTGCATCATTCCAAATCATGAAAAGAGGGTATGTACTACAGACCACTCTCTAATTCTTTCTCATTATTAATTTCTTCGCATGCATTTCAAGTTATGCATGCTGTCTGTGTCTTCCTTTGTGAAACTTGGCTTCTCATTTCAAAAGTTTTCACGCTAATCAAGTATCTTCTCAGTATTCCCCACACATGCCCTTATTTAGATGGTTGACTTTGTAGAGGGTAGCCTGAAAAACTTAAACTAGTTTTTCATTAATGCAAATTCAAAGACTAAAAATCATACTTGTTTTGTTTGTCCAGGCTGGAAAATTGGATCCACATCTGGTTCTAGATCAGCTTCGTTGCAATGGTGTTTTGGAAGGAATAAGGATTTGTCGACAAGGATTTCCAAACAGGATAGTGTTCCAGGAATTTAGACAGAGGTAACAGGAGGAATAGTCTTTTGAGTTTTTATGAGATAAAGTTCCTTGTTAAATAATTGAAGACACCCCCACTCCCTTCCCCAGCCCAACTGGAAGAAAATCCAAAACCATATGTGAGGTCTTGAAGTGGCTTGAACTCGAAGCAGTTAAATATTACAAGTTTATTCTAAAGACACTAGGGAAGGGGAAACCAATCTAAAATGAGCTTCTAGAAAAACTTTCTGGAGAAATTCCTTAGCTGTGCACTTGGTAACTATAGCTTTATGGGTTCATAATAATGTAGCTTACTGCTGAATGTAAAGGTGTTTTTTCTTTTGACTTAAAGGTATGAGATCCTTACTCCCAATGCAATTCCAAAAGGTTTTATGGATGGTAAGCAAGCCTGTGAGCGTATGGTAAGTGTTTATACCTATATATTGTTAACACATTGAAAAGATGAAAAAAAAAATTGTTCTTTCCTTGGTGTAAAAACAATGTGCTTACCTATTTAGATCAGAGCATTAGAGCTGGACCCCAACTTATACAGAATTGGACAGAGCAAGATCTTTTTCCGAGCTGGTGTCTTGGCACACTTAGAAGAAGAACGAGATCTGAAGATCACAGACATTATCATCTTTTTCCAGGCAGTCTGTAGAGGATACCTGGCTAGGAAGTATGTGTGCTCTTATGGTTTGATTTTTCTCATGGTCATCTTAAGTCTCTTTGATAGGGAGCTATGCATTAAAACTTCCATTTCAGGAGAGATTTTCTTAAGAAAGAGTGGTGCCTGATAAACTGTAGTTGTATCCAGGGTAAATAGGTGAATTTTTACCTAATGACAACAACAATTTTTACCTTCATTCCATAGCAATATCTCCTTTTCTTAACATTCCCTCTGTGACATGTGCAGCTGTTTATGGTACAGCTAGTGGCTGCAAAAAAATCTTTCTGCTCCACTGGAAGTTCTTAGAGATACTCTGGAAAGCTGCTTTTTTTGAAATTAAAGGGCAGTTCAGTGTATAATCCATCCCGATTTTATTTTTTTAAGAAAAACATCTGTTAAGAGTAAAAAAAAAATAGCATTTTTAATTATTGCTTTGAAAATGGTGAATCCAGCTTTTGCTCTGCCTCTTCATATAAGGAATGAGTACTCATAAATCAGTGTTGTCACTGAAACTTGAAAATAAGCCTATTTATGGTCTGCAAGTGTTCTAGGGTTAGGTAACCTAAAAATTTAAAAATACAGCTGTATTTAACATGAAATGTTTTGCTCTTTCTGTCTTCAGGGCCTTTGCAAAGAAGCAACAGCAACTGAGTGCACTGAAAATCCTGCAGAGGAATTGCGCTGCATATTTAAAGCTTAGGCACTGGCAGTGGTGGAGAGTGTTCACAAAGGTTCGTTGTATTCTGTCACTTTCTTTGACTTCTGTAAATAGGTAGATGCAGGTTCTTACTTGTTCCTTTCAAATCTTTGCAGGTGAAGCCTCTTCTTCAGGTCACTCGTCAAGAAGAAGAACTTCAAGCCAAGGACGAGGAGCTAATGAAGGTGAAAGAAAAGCAGACAAAAGTGGAGGCAGAACTTGAGGAAATGGAAAGGAAACATCAACAGGTTTGTGCCTAAGATCAGCTTTTGATATGTAGAATGTATATTGCACTATATCCTGTGTGAGGGAGCCATGCTGGGGAGACACTTGTCAGCAAAAGCACTGTGACTTGGGAGAGCTAACTCCTTTCACACTCTGCTAAAATCTGAAATAACAAGACACAGCATGAGCTATTCCTCCAGGAATGCAGAAACATCATGTTAATGAAACTAAACGTTTTTGGCCTTTCCTAGTTTACAGGAGAGTTTCAGTAGCAGTGTCATTTTCCTTTTCAGATGTGTTTTCAGGGTAGGATACTTCTGTGGTGTACATATGCTGTTTAAGACATGAGGAAGCAATTATGACAATTATTGGGCAAAACTGAAAATTAATTTATGCTGATAAGTAACACTGATACCAGTTTAAAGAACAGCTGAAAGAGTGTCAGTAAAGGTAGACATGTATTTATCACTGTGGTAATATTGAGACATGATAGTACTGGGATGGATATCTAGAATGGCAAAGCATCAGTTCCTATTGATGAAAGGGCTGGAAGGCATGGCCTATAAGGAGTGTCTAAGGGCACTGGGTTGGTTCTAGTTTGGAGAAAAGGAGACTGAGGGGAGACCTCATCACTTCCCCTCCTCAGGAAGCTGTAGAGAGCAGAGAAGGAGGTGCTGATCTCTTCTCTGGGATCCTGGGCCAGGACACGTGGGAATGGTTCAAAGCTCCATTAGGGGAGGTTCAGACTAGATATTAGGAAACGTTTCTGTACTAAGAGAGTGGTCAAACACTGGAACAGGCTTCCTAAAGAGGTGGTTGATGCCCGATGCTTGTCGGTGTTTAAAAGGCATTTGGACAATGCCCTTAATATACTTTAACTTTTGATCAACCCTGAAGTGGTCAGACAGTTGGAATAGATTATTGTCATAGGTCCCTCCCAAATGGGACTATTCTATTCTATTGTCAAATTTACGCAGCAAGAAGTAATGTGTTCCAGTTCTCTTCCAGTGACTCTAAGTGCCAGCTTCAGCCCAGCTACCCACAGCACTGCTCTGCCACTTTACAGGGATGAGTGCAAGGAACAGTCTAGGAAACGGGCACTTCCCTCATCTTTTTGCTGCTGGTAGAACAGGGCACATGGGGTAGGTGCAGTGGAATCCGTTCCTTAAACGGGGGGGACAAGTGAGTGAACATTGCTGTGGCCCAATTACAAAAGCTGGTGTCTTCTAGACTGCTGATAAAGCCCTCTGCTAAGTCTTTTGGTTTTGGATATTGACCAGGGAGTCAAGAGTTGGAGCAGAACTTGGCCTTTAAGTAACTTTGTAGTTGTCATACATATAATCTCTCATGAGAGACTTTGAAACGTCGTTTTTACTGCTTTACTACCTTTTGTGTGTATTTGCAGCTTCTGGAAGAGAAGAACATTCTTGCAGAGCAGCTACAGGCTGAGACAGAGCTCTTTGCAGAAGCTGAGGAGATGAGGGCTCGCTTGGCTGCCAAAAAACAAGAGTTGGAAGAAATTCTCCATGATTTGGAGTCCAGGGTTGAGGAGGAAGAGGAAAGAAACCAAATATTGCAGAATGAGAAGAAGAAAATGCAGGGCCATATTCAGGTATGCCTCTTGGTAACTGGAAATGGAGAAGCATGCAAATAGGATAGTTAAGGATGAGAAGGCTCCCTCAGCATCTCTATGGCACAGAGGTATTTAGCTCCTTAGCACTATGTGTGGAATAAAATCAATTTGAATTTTTTTGTCTTCTCTTCCTGTGTTCAGTGTGTTTAGCTTCTTGTGGTCACCAGGCATGTGAGGGTGAGGAAAGAAAAAGAAAAGTCAAAATGCACTGTTGGTAGCTATGCAGATAGAGTATTAAAGGTAGCAACCACTTTTGAGGGGGGAGGAACTGGGAATAACTGTATGGGGCTTACCTGCTTTCTTATAGAAACAAAGACTGATGGGATGATGTCACTTATGAGAGAAATGTTCCTTTTTGACTGAAATCCAGTGAATATCATGAAGAGTATTCCTCCTTTGACTTCTACAAAACTAAGACAGCTTCATCTCCTCCAAGTTACTTGGGGTTTTTTTTTTGTGAAAATCAGGTGATTTAGATGCTTCCTTTTGCATACATGGAGACCTTGAAAAAAGGAATACCTGAGAACTTATCTGTCTTTCAAAATATTAAAGGTACTTGGAGGGGAAATAAACCCTACATCTCACAGCTCTTGATGCCTTTTAATGAGTGTCCATTAATGTGTGGCTGAGAATCTTATTTAAAACCATGAATGAATAGAAGCACAATACATTATTACTTTTCTAGTTGTATCTAGCTATTTATGCCAATATCTGAACCATTTCAGCTGTAATAGAAACCTTGATTCATACTGAAATCAGGAGATCTGTTCCCTGTGGTATCTCTTCCCAGACACTTATACTTTTACACCAGATGCCCTATTCAGATGCAGTATGCTAGGAAGTATTTGACATAAAGCCTGATCTGATTTCATTGTCAATTAAGTAGATTTTTTTTTATTTTATGTTCAGAATTAAGAATTTGAAAGACTCTGGTGAAGTGAGTGTATGTTTCCTAGACAGCATATTTCAGCCAAAGTGGAAACAGAGTATAAAAAATTCCTTGTGTATCACAGCCCTTATTTTGTTACCAGAACATTGATATAAATGAATCTAACAAAAAGTAAATGCATTTTTAGTGTTAGTTAGGGCAGGTGGCTTTTCAGAATAATGCATCTTTTTCACCAATTTAAAAAAAAACAAAATGATATGGGTAACCTGGAAAATGCACAGATGCAATTGCCTTTCTTCCCAGGACCTGGAGGAACAGCTTGATGAGGAGGAGGGAGCTCGACAGAAGTTGCAGCTTGAAAAAGTGACAGCTGAAGCTAAGATCAAGAAGATGGAGGAAGAGATCCTACTGTTGGAGGACCAAAATTCCAAATTTTTGAAGGTGAGACCAGTAAGCGCAGTGGAGATTCTGCACATAAGTAATAGTAGTACCAACTGAGAGCTCTCAAAACATTTGAGATCACTGTTACGTTACCTGTAGAGTTTGTGCATGAAGGCTTGTGGGGTTTGAACAGATTGAAGCTGAGACACTTAGAGCTTCTTTTAAACTGACCTTTAAAAGGGAGGTATTTGCCATGCATTCTTTCCAATTTCATGAGTCTTCCAAATCTAAGAGTTGGAAACAGTGTTTATCATAGCTACTGTTGTTCTTTGTAAACAGATTTCCACAAGTGTATAGCAAATGCTGTCCTAAAACCAGGCCTCCCGTGTGTTAAATTCCAAGTCTAACTTTCTTGGGGAAAAAAAATGTTCACATTTCTATACTATTACAATTAATCCTTAATATTGATAGGTCAGTCACTTGAAATAAAATCTGTATTATATATGCTGTATGAGACCTCTGTATGGATTTTGTATATTGAGTTATTTGTGGTGCTTAGAGACTCTTCAAATCGTATTTTAGAAGTTAGTCTTTCTCCCCTTTCTCCTAACTAGGAAAAGAAGCTGATGGAGGATCGAATTGCTGAATGTACTTCTCAGCTGGCTGAAGAAGAAGAAAAGGCCAAAAACTTGGCCAAACTCAAGAACAAGCAGGAAATGATGATCACTGATTTGGAAGGTTTGTTCTTACTACATTTGCCTGTTAGCAGCTTGGACATCATGCTAGAAAGGAATGGATCGCTTATTACAATGTGTGCAGTATCTGGTCCAGTCTGCTAAGTGTAATCTTGTATGTAGGCACCTTAATAGCTGTTATTTTTATCTAAATCTTGAAAGAAATTTGTGTTGCTTGCAAGACTTGTTGCGTTTGGCTGCTCAGTCTTTCTTATGTTCGTTAGTTTTTCATTTTTGAGAATCCATTTCATTTATAGATGCAATCAGAAGTTCATGTTGCATGCATCTCTTAGTAACAAGGTAAAACATCTGTCTCGAAGTTGCTATACTTTTCTATAATAACACATTAGAACAACGTATTTCTGGAAGAATGTTAGTATGCATTCGTTAGGCTTCTAATATTTTTTTTAATAAGCCAATCTGAATTGTTTTGCTTTTATTAATGCTTTGTTTATCTAAAACACTTCAATTTCCTTGGCCATTTATTTCTGATTGTTTTCCCTGTGTTGTCACCTTTACGTAACCTTTCTTGATTTTGCTTTTTTAATTACTTACAGCTGTAAATAGCTATTGTGCAACATTAATAACCTGCCAAGTCAAAGTTGCAAAATGTAAGGCAAAGTTGTGCTCTGTGCCCTAATTTGGAAATAGTTTTATCACTCACTGTATTATGGCTAGTGTTTCTGAAGATACTTGACAGATGTCTTTGGTTATGGTACTGTTCCAAGACTGATGACCTTAGAAATGGAAACTAAAGCTTAAATGTAAGGCATGCAATTTCTTGGCTAGTAAAGCACAGTAAAATGATATTTACTCTTTGAGATGATTCAAGAAGCCATTAAGGTCTCTCTGCTAGGGTCTTGGCACTGCTAGGTACTGAAATTTGGCGGGGGGGAACCCTAATTTGGTTTGCTATGAGCTTTCTCAATTACAAAATTGGGTCTTATGACACTGTTCTAACTGTCACTCACCAGAAATATAATGTAAAAACAGAGGGAGAAGTGCTATTTATTTGAATGAGGAACTGTTTAGAGAAAAACAGTGTTACTTTAGATCATCTGGAAAATCCCAAATAGCCCTGGGTGGCTTTAAGAGATGATTCTTGAACATGGCTCACTTTCCATGTAGAAGATGATGACCTGATCCAGTAGCAGGCATAGGAAGGGTGTGAGAGAAATCTCTGTGCTGAGGACCCACGAAGTATTGAACAAGTCTAATAACTTAGATTTATGCTAATGCATGTAGAATTGTGCTAATGCTATGCTAAGCAAAACCTTCCTGTGACTTAAATATATTTACATACTTGGTCATTAGCTAACTGTAAACAATGCAGCCAGTAACTATCTTAATCAGACAACAGGAGATCATATAAAAGTATTTTATTGCTATGGCACTGATAACTGGATGGTCTTCACAAAGAAATACCTTAGGGCAGGAGTGTCTTGGCTACACAAATAAATTACTGGAAGTGATCAGGGTTGCACAGTCTTGCTAAATATCAATGGGATGTGAGATAGTGGCATAGATATTTGCAAAAATGGTTTATCCAAGCGTGGTGGTTTGATACTGGCTGGATGCCAAGTGCCCACCAAAGCAGCTCTCCCCTTCTCAACTGGACAGGGGAGAGAAAAATGTAACAAAAAAGCTTATGGCTTGAGATAAGGACAGGGAGATCACTCAGCAATTACCATCATGGGCAAAACAGACTCAACTTGGGGAGAATCAGTTTAATTTACTACCAATCAAAACTGAGTAGGAGAGAGGAGTGAGAACTTATGTAGGGTAATGAGAAATAAAACAAAATCTTAAAACACCTTTCCCCTACCCCTCCCTTCTTCACGGGCTCAACTTCACTCCCAATTTTTCTCTACCTCCTCCCCCCCCGAGCGGCGCAGGGGGACGGGGAATGGGGGGTTGTGGTCAGTTCATCACACGTTGTCTCTGCTGCTCCTTCCTCCTCAGGGGAGGACTCCTCACACTCTTCCCCAGCTCCACCGTGGGGTCCCACCCACGGGAGACAGTCCTCCATGAACTTCTCCAACATGGGTTCTTCCCACAGGCTACAGTTGTTCACGAACTGCTCCAGCGTGGGTCCCTTCCATGGGGTGCAGTCCTTCAGGCGCAGACTGCTCCAGCATGGGTCCCCCCCGGGGTCACAAGTCGTGCCAGCAAACCTGCTCCAGCCTGGGCTCCTCTCTCTCCACGGGTCCACAGCTCCTGCCAGGAGACTGCTCCAGCAGACTGCTCCAGCATGGGTCCCCCACGGGGCCACAAGCCCTGCCAGCAAACCTGCTCCAGCGTGGGCTCCTCTCTCCATGGGTCCACAGGTCCTGCCAGGAGCCTGCTCCGGAGTGGGCTTCCCCCCGGGTCACAGCCTCCTTTGGGCACATCCCCTGCTCTGGCGTGGGGTCCTCCCCGGGCTGCAGGTGGATATCTGCTCCACCATGGACCTCCATGGGCTGCAGGGGCACAGCCTGCCTCACCATGGTCTTCACCATGGGCTGCAGGGGAATCTCTGCTCCGGTGCCTGGAGCACCTCCTCCCCCTCCTTCTTCACTGACCTTGGTGTCTGCCTAGTTGTTCCTCTCACATATTCTCACTCCAGCTGCAGTTTGTGTCCTGGTGTTTTGTTTGATCCCCGCCCCATCCCCACTTAACTATGTTATCCCAGAGGTGCTACCACTGTTGCTGATTGGCTCAGCCTTGGCCAGCGGTGGGTCTGTCTTGGATCCAGCTGGCATTGGTTCTATAGGACATAGGTGAATCTTCTAGCAGCTTCTCGCAGAAGCCACCCCTGTAGATCACCTGCTACTGAAACCTTGCCACACAAACCCAAGACACCAAGTTTTCTTTAAGCTATACTATTTTCCAGTAGACCTTTTGGAGGCTAGCCTAGCCCTTCCAAAACTATGCAAGCCATCATTTTTTACAGTCCGTAGTTGTTCTTTATTTTTGAATCCTGATGTCTGTGATCACCTGGCCTAGCAGCAAAAACTTCCTCTGTTAGATTCCATTCCTTATTTTCTGTTGGGATGAGGTTATTTTTCTGTTCCCTTACTTGAAACTTTTTTCTCCAGTCATTGACTTTTTCTTGACTTTCTATCTAAATCATACAGTTCTACTTTGCTATTCATCTTTCCCAGTCACCCTTCCAGCTGCAGACTGGAGGAAGAATTGACACAGCATATATTAAACTTCCCACCCATCTTTCCACCCTGGTGCCCTGCACCTGAACCTTCTGAGGATGACAAGAGAAAACATTGCTTACAAATTTTTTTTCTTCCTTAGAGCGCTTAAAAAAGGAGGAGAAGACCCGTCAAGAATTAGAAAAAGCTAAAAGAAAACTTGATGGTGAAACAACAGACCTACAGGACCAAATAGCTGAGCTGCAAGCCCAGATTGAAGAACTGAAGATCCAGCTGGCCAAGAAAGAGGAAGAATTGCAGGCTGCTCTTGCTAGGTCAGAGCATGATGGGGCTTATGACTACAGAAGCGTGGTAGAAACCTACTTTTCCAGACAGAATTTCAGCTGACTGCAAATTTATCAGTTAGAACTGGGAACATTAAAGCAGAAGCCAGTTCACGTTTGTACTAGAGCATCTCTAGACACCTGTGTGCTGTGAGTAGACATGGCAAAGAAGGAATGGAGTGTTTTAGCAACATCCTTGCTCTACAAAGCTCCAAAAGCAATGTTTCACTGGGGTATAATAGCATTTGGGCTCTAGAAGCTTTTTTTAGTCTCCTAGAGTTCAGCCTCAGGAGGGAAAAAACAATGTAATTCTTGGAGAGACTTCTTAATGCTCAAAGTACTTGATAATATATGTCCTATTCAATCATTGAAAGATTTGTGTGGTAGTCATGCAGCCACATAATATAAACTAAACACCTTTTGTATTTTTTGAGTAATGATCCATAATTTTGCAGGAAGAGAAAATTCTACAGGCAGTGCATTTTTTGGTACAGTGCTGAGATCTACAAAACTGGAATACTTGAATGTAAACTTGAAAGCTTGATCATTCTACTAGTGTATCTGTATGTGTATGAAGTTTTAGAAGGTCTAGTTTATTCTAGTGGGAAAGTTGAGTTATCATTTGTGTACATAACTTAATAATAGACTGTTATGAGAATAGATCTGAAGCTACAAAATATCATTAACTGTTGTGCCTCTATTTAACAGAGGCGATGAAGAAGCGGTTCAAGATAAGAGAGTTACAGGCTCAAATTGCAGAACTCCAGGAGGACCTTGAATCTGAGAAGGCATCACGCAACAAGGCAGAAAAGCAGAAAAGAGATTTAAGTGAAGAGTTGGAGGCTTTAAAAACTGAACTGGAAGATACCTTGGATACCACTGCAGCACAGCAAGAGCTGAGGTAGGATCACACGTCTGTGTAAGAATGCACCGTTAAAATTTGTCTTTAATTTACAAAAGACTAAAATGTTGACTTTGATTACCATTGATGCTTCCTCTAGGACAAAGCGAGAGCAGGAAGTGGCTGAACTGAAGAAAGCAATTGAAGAGGAAACCAAAAACCATGAAGCACAGATCCAGGAAATCAGGCAGAGGCATGCTACTGCCCTGGAAGAGCTCTCTGAACAACTTGAACAGGCCAAAAGGGTGAGAATAAAATTAATACAGAAATACACTTTTCTGTTTCAGGACTTCTTATAAGTAACACAAGTATTGTGGTCCTTTCCACTGATATCTGCAGACCTAAGTTGTCCTCTATACATGCATAACAATTCTAACTGAAACAAATATATCCTGCTCGTTTGAATATATTGCAGCTATTGGGCATTCTTGGCATCTATCTGAAAAGCGTTCATTAGACTTGGAAATGGTGCATCTAGAGATAAATTCACATAGTACTTCTGTAGGAATTCTCCAGCAGCCCACGTGCTTATTTGGACAGAAGCAGCTCTCTGCATGAGTGAGCTGCAGAATGTTTCCAAATAGGGTAATTGTAATGTTGGCACTCACAAATAACAAACTGTGAGTACAGGTAGTGTAGAAGTTCTTCCAGCCACTCTTAACTTCATGCTTGTACTGTGACCTCCAGTGCTAGATATCTGTGGAGTATCTTGCCAGTTTACACAGCTGTATTATGTTCTCTGGTAACCACCACCAGAGCAGGCAGGAGGAGGCACACCTGGATGGCATGGTTCCTCCTAGTGTAGCTTAAGTGTCTTGTTCAAAAGTAGAATTATTCCAATACTTCCAAAAAAAAGTGTCTTTAGTTTGCGAAATTATAGTTCTGGTCATTCACAAATGTATGTGTGGACAGTTCATCTACTGCAGTAATATTTTTATGTAGGGAATACATCACTTCCTTAGTTTAAAATACGAAGTGAGAAACACAGTAGTTAAAGCTGGTGGAAATTATAGTTTATTCACCTGAAGATCTTTATGCATGTCTTCTGCTCCTTATTCATTAAATATTCTCAGTAAGAGCATGAAAAGATGGAAAAATACCCTGCAATCTTGAACAAAGGTTCTGTGTTAAGATGATGTCAGTTCTGGTGATATAGTAAGGATGGCACTTAAACATCCCTTATGCCAATTATTACTTTTTTAAAAAAGGTTTTTGACAAATGTCAGTGCAGTGGCGAAAAGTGTTTTGTTATGCACTTCTAGGCTGCTACGCCTACTAAAATCAGGGCAGCTTTAGTTGATATCTTTCCTTTTATTTCTGTGAGATGAGCCGTGATGATCTGTTAATGGGCACATTCCTTCCTACTTACAGTGCTACTCTAACAGTCATTTTACAGCACTGACATCCCAGAACTTGTTGAATTCAATTCTGGTCCTTACTGTTACCTGTGATATCTGACAGTGGAATAACTTGCATTAATTTAGTTTTTTACTAACACATACAGAATGTTACATGGCAGCATTTTAAACACTCCCTACTTACAACTTGCTGAGCACTTGTTTTATCTTTGAACTTGTAAACCTGATTTGTTGGACTGAATATTTTTAGCAGAAAACTTTATTGATATGTAACAAAGTGTTGAATTTCTTTCCTTTTGTTTTTCCTAGTTCAAAGCAAATCTTGAAAAAAACAAGCAAGGCCTAGAGTCCGACAACAAGGAGTTAGCCTGTGAAGTGAAGGTACTGCAGCAGGTCAAGGCAGAGTCTGAACATAAGAGGAAGAAACTTGATGCTCAGGTACAAGAGCTAACTGCTAAGGTCACAGAAGGAGAAAGACTGAGGGTGGAACTGGCGGAGAAAGCTAACAAGCTGCAGGTAAGGCTGCATGGAAGTCCTAAACTGCTGAAAAATATGCAAGAAATTAAAAGCCTTGACCATATGCAGAAATGGCTAGGAAAAATGACTTTCAAAGATGCAGCTAGGTCTACAGGAACTGCGTCTGTAGCTGATGTGGGAGGTGATGTGAGTATACATGTACTTGAGGGGCCTTGAAGTGGTGACATGCCTCGGGTGCAGATAGCTGGACAGCCATGACTTTAATCCTGAACTTTGTGGGCTCTGTGAGAATTATAGTGGCTTCTAGTACATGGCTTCCCATCCTGGAGACCAAGTCCTGTCGGAGGCTCTGCTGACAGCTGACCTACAGGTTTTTGGCTTGGATATGGAATTGTGTAGATTGGTCCGAGCTCATTTGTAGGTGTGAGCAAAAAAGTCTACTGATTGATGATGGCCACATGTTTACTTTTGTGCTTCAAAGTTTGGGATCTTGACGGATGGGATTGCAAGTAAATGCCTGTTTTTCTGGGAAATGGAGAAAATGGACAAAACGCAGTCAGGGCTGACTTAAACCACAGCAATGAGTACTTTAGGTAAATCAAGCTAAAGTGCTTCAAAAAGGGAATGGCCCAGTTCTTTTCGGGCAGGAAGCTTTTGGGCGGTCACTCACTGTATATACAAGTAGTATAGTCTAAAATAGCAAGAGTTGGCACCTGGCAGTAACCTTTTCTCTAGCACTGATGCTTTAAACCCAGCTGCCACCCTGATAATCCCTGAATTAATGGTCCTGTAAAATATATGGTCCTATAATTAAAAATAGCATTTAAGTATGAATGCAGATATTGGAATGATGTGCTCTGTTAAATAGCATGCCTAACTCTTGTTATGTTATACCCTTAAGTTCAGGATTGACATCCAACTTCAAGTTCCTAACCAAACTTCAGGCTGAGAGAGTTGGGGTTGTTCAGCCTGGAGAAGAGGAGGCTGCAGGGAGACCTTATTGTGGCCTTTCACAGGAAAGATTGGGACTCTTTTTAGCAAGGCCTGTTGTGACAGGACAAGGAGTAATGGTTTTAAACTAAAGGAGGATAGATTTAGACTGGATATAAGGAAGAAATTTTTTACAATGAGGGTGGTGAAGTACTGGAACAGGTTGCCCAGAGAGGTAGTGGAGGCCCCATCCCTGGCAACATTCAAGGTCAGGTTGGATGGGGCTCTGAGCAACCTGATCTAGTTAAAGCTGTCCCTGCTCAGTGCAGGGGGGTTGGGCTAGACGACCTCTAAAGGTCCCTTCCAACCCAAAGCATTCTATGATTCTACATCCCTCCAGGGCTGGGGTATGTCCCATGTGCCAGAGTCTGCCCCACGGGGTCATCTGTGGGCTGGATGTGCTGAGTGAATGGGGAATCCCTCCCAGTCTGTCCCTCAGGCAGATGCTGTGGGTGCATTCCAACCCAAAGCATTCTATGTTTCTATGAAACTTTGGTATTTTTAGCTTGTTGTATCTCTGTAGTGGGACCAATTGTTGTCTTGCCATACCTGGAATTTGTTGAGGTTTTGTGTTCTGCTGTTCTAGCTCCTGGTGCGATGTAGGTTTTGCTGTGAGTCAGCTGCATGCTGTTACCTTTAGACTGCTTGCTTTGCAGAACGAATTGGATAATGTCTCAAGTCTCCTGGAGGAAGCAGAGAAGAAAGGTATTAAGTTTGCCAAGGATGCAGCTAGTTTGGAATCTCAGCTTCAGGATACACAGGTGTGTGCACGGTGAAGCTTGAACTTTGCAGTGAAGCTTTGTTCCTTATTGAAATGCTAACTGCATAACAGAAAATACATTTTCATTCATGATTTGGGAAGTCCCTTGGGTAGAAGCTGTATTTCCTATTGAAGTCTAGTGAAATGCAATGTATAATGACTGCTCTGGTACATATGGAGCTAATTTTTCATTATGTGAGATTCACTACTTACTAGACTGTAGTTGTTCAGTTTCTCTTTATTAGTCTCTGTGGGAGATAAATATTAGTTCAAATAAACCCTTTCAAAGTAGAATGTTAATGTAAATAAGATCCTTGGGGTATATGAAAGGCACGAGGGACAATACCCTGTCTTTTACTGACAGCTTAAGTTCTTAAAACTGCCAGTGTTTGGTTTTGAGTTAAATAATGCAGCTTTATACACATATTCATCACTTAAATATACTCCCCCCCACCCCCCCCCCCCCCCCGCAACAAAAACATGGGGGGACCTGTTTC